CGGCAGCCCTGGGGGCAGTGGCTGGATGGGCTGGGTTCAGGCACCGAGCCTGTGGCTGCCCCAGTGCTGGTGGCAGCTGGTGCCTTGTGGGGTTTCTGCTGTCATCCTGGGTAGGCCATCTGGGCCACCTCTGGCCCAAATACCCCTGGAGGAAAAAGCAGGCTGTTGCGAGCAGCGATGTCTGTACCTGCTGGCTGCTGTCAGGCATGTGCCTGTGTCGTCTGTCCAAGCATCAGGTGGCTGGGAGTGGGTTTGGCTTGCACTGGGGCTGTAGGTGGCTGGGTGCTTGGTCCCAGCCTCCAAATAGCCGGTAGGCCATCTGGGCCACCTCTGGCCCAAATACCCCTGGAGGAAAAAGCAGGCTGTTGCGAGCAGCGATGTCTGTACCTGCTGGCTGCTGTCAGGCATGTGCCTGTGTCGTCTGTCCAAGCATCAGGTGGCTGGGAGTGGGTTTGGCTTGCACTGGGGCTGTAGGTGGCTGGGTGCTTGGTCCCAGCCTCCAAATAGCCTGAACTAAAATGAACTGAGCAACAAAATAAGGCCTCTTATGTTTTTTTACTCAACACTTTGCTTTGTGCTCCAGACTGAGGAAAAAATGTGAGCAAGTCCTGAGTGCAAGGAATAGCAATTCTGTTAACATGCTGAATCATTGCGTCTGAAGAGGCCTAAATTACTTCTGTATGATCAATACATTTCGTCCACTTGATGCTAAGGAAGTAGATGAGGAGATGGACTTTGAAATAAAGTATATTGAACAGGTTCTTTAAAGGAAGAATTTTAGCCTTTTGGCAGTGATGGATTTGTCTATACATTAAATGTGTCTGATGGGGAGGGGTTCATGAAAGGAAGCAACCTAAAGGTACAAAAGCTAACTATTGTGGAGACATGCTGAGTAGTCTCATTAAATGGACCAAAACAATTGAGAGGGGATATAAAAGAGCCTATCCACTATATGATTTCCCAACCCAAAGCTATTTCCAGTGTACAGAAGAGATGGGGAGGCTAAGAACAGTGCCTTTGGATATGTCTGAGTCATGCAGGTAGTCCATTAAGACTTGGCCTGCATCCAGTATAGACATAACAATGCTTTACTGGATATATGCCACAAAGATGACTTTATGGGTAAATCTTTGTCCAGTCCTGGTATTGATTCTCCTGCACAACTCATTTGTCTACTAGTTTGCACAATAAAAAGATACCACTCTGAAATGCTTAAAATGGTTACATGTTTACAGCATGAGAACTTCAGGAAACAACAAACTGAGAATATACAGGACCAAGAAATTAGTTCCAAGGTGTATTTCCTGAAGCAGTCAGTCAGTAACTCCTGTGGGACAATTGGTCTGATACATGCAGTTGCTAATAATAGAGACAAACTGAAGCTTGGTGAGTATGAATGTTTTGAAGTGCTTGAATTTCCTTTTTTTTTTTTTTAATGTCAGGAAGATAGAGTGGGTATGGGCTATAGGAGACACCTGGGGCTTTCATGCAAGTCAAGTTAAAGCATGCTGTACTGCTTCAGTTGGTACGTGGGTCTTTCAGCTCTTGGAGAGGGGCATGTGGTCTCACCTACTACCTGAATTGTGGAAGGGAATGTACTTCTATCTGGTAGTTGCAGAGGTATTCTCCTATTGCAAGAGGGAAAGGGCACGCCTGAATTGTGGAAGGGAATGTACTTGACTCCTATCTGGTAGTTGCAGAGGTGTTCTCCTATTGCAAGAGGGAAAGGGCACATAGTAGGACTGGCCAAAGAAAAAAAACTGGCTTAGGCAACTGGTGGCTGGAAACTCCTAGGAAATAAGATTACAAGTTACTGTTAAAAAAGGGCTGCCAGAATCCAGGAAATATTTTGTAATTCAAAGCTAGAGATCTGCAAAATACAACCTACTTTCGTTATTTCAAGAGAACTTGAACCTTTTGGGTGTTGCGGGATTCCTTTGAATACAAAGGAAAACATATACGGAAAGCTAAATGAGAGTAGCCTTGCTTTACTCTTGAAAGCATTCTCTGAAATAACACACTCTTGATGGGTGAAATGAATGATGCAGCACATGGTGTAAAACTAGAACTCGGCATATCTTAAATACTGCACTACTAATTTATATTTTGAAAAACCAAAGTAAGCCTGTCATGAGCAAGTGCTGTGTTCCTTTGAAGGCAGTGAGACAATTTCATCTACCCATATTCTGTTAGTTGATACTTAAGTGTCCTTACAGCTGGCACCTTTCTTGAATTTCTTCAAAACAGGACTGAACACCTCAGCCAAATCTGCAAGGTGAGAATCAGAAAAGCTAAATCCCATTTGAAAGTGAGTTCCAAGACAAGCATCCAGAGTACCCTGAAAGGCACCTGAACTCTGGCTGTTTGTGTAGATTGTTAATAGCTTCTGGATAAATAGCTTACTTCAAGTGGTAGTTAAATATGCTTATGCTGGAGGTGGTTCCAGGCTGAATGCTGTGACTCCTAGTTAGTGCAGCTAACTGATTACTGTGGGCTGCATCTTTAACTGTAACTGATGCTTTACCTGTACTGAATAAAATCTTTGATCCTGTTGTGCAGATGAGGGGTCTGCCCTGAAGAAGTTTCTTGAAGAAACAGCTGATATGACTCCTGATGAGAGAGCTAAGCATTTTGCAAATAATAAGGTACATGAACTACACAAACTGCTGACAGCTGTCAGTCCTTAAGGATGTAGTAACCTTTATCTGCTTTCTCTTAAGGCTATACAAGAAGTCCACAATTCGGTTGCACAAGAAGGACAATGTCGGGTAAGATGTGAATGTGTGATTATCTTGGGAGAAGGGGTTAGTGAAGGTGGTAGAGCAATACTTTCTTTTGTCTGGCAGATAGCTGTTACAGCCCATGAGGCAAGAGAAATGAGTGACTCATGGGTGAACGCTTGTGTGCGGTTTCTTCCTTAAATGTGGATTTGAGTTCAGACACGGTCTGAAAATGTGAATGTACATTAGGATCTATTGTGCTTGACCTTGTAGAGGTCTTGCAAAGACCTCTGCAGCTGAACTTAATTTTTAGTCCTTTGCTGTTGCCTTGTTGACATCACCTTTGTCCTGTAGTCACAAGCAGGGTTTCCAGTACTAGATTGAAAAAAAAATAATAAAAAAAAGCCTAACAGCTGTGTCTAATGGTCTCTCCTAAGGTTGAGGACAACAGTATGAACTTCCACTTCATCCTGTTTGTCAATGTGGATGGACATCTGTATGAATTGGGTAAGGTCCTGAGAACACTGCAGTTGGACAGGGCCTATTTCATACTGTACAGCAGCGTTGGGGGCTCAGGCTAGATACTTGGTGCTAGTTAAGCTGGTTGCTGAGGCTGTCAAAGCCAATACATAATTTGTACCTTCGCTTGAAGATTTTAACTGAAGGTGGGTTGCACTGAAGGCTTGGGCCCTCTTGTAAAACATATCAGCTCCTGTGGAGCTGGGAATACTTAGTCCCCTTCTCACTCAAGCTATGTGTTGACAATTTATTCTGACCTCCCCAATATCTTCCTGTGTGTACTTGTTTCTTGGGCCTACTATGCTCAGTTCTGCTAATTCAGAAGTAATATTAAGTATGCTGACTGATGGGACTTTCTTTCACAGATGGGCTTATGCCATTTCCTGTAAACCACGGCAAAAGCTCAGATGACTTGCTATTGAAGGTAAGACTGCTCCCTTGCTGCTTGTTTCCCTGAAAACAAGGCTTGTAAGAGGGTGAGTGTGTAGTGGCTGTACCTACTTGCTGTACAAGTTGGTGCTGCTTATACCATGGTAACAAGGTAGTATTGTGCCATGAAGCTAAATACCTGTTTAGGTATATTTATTAGCTGGTGCTACAAGACCTTGTAACTTAATTGGTGGGACACAGAGAAGAGCTGCAAAGACTTGGTCTCTACAGCAAGTGTATTCTGATAGTCTAAACAGCTTTTTCTTTTCTTTCAAGGCTTCTGCTAAGATTTGCAGACAATTTACAGAACGTGAAAAGGGAGAAGTTCGTTTTTCTGCTGTGGCTTTCTGCAAGTCAGCCTGAGGCTCTGAAGAGATGCAAGGAAAGCAGTCTAATAGCACACCAGTAAATGCAGTCTAAACTCCAGTGCTTCAGTACTTGTTAAACACAGCTGTTCTGGTAATTTAAATTGTTTCCACCTTTTGCTATACACAGGAGCAACATCAGCTGAGCTTATGCTAAAGGATGAGCTCAAGTTTTAATGTGAACAGTTTGGACACATCAGATGTCTTTAGACTCTTTTTTCACATGTTAAGTAGAAAATGCTTAACAGGGCTTGTTTAATCTGTATCATGTTAATTGAGCTGTTGGTTGATATTTCCTTGTCTTTAATGAGAATAAAATGTTCTGCTGGAAGACTAAATAGACTAAAGTGATCACTGTAACTTTCTCCAAAAGGAGCGTGGCATCCTCTGTAAACCTTGCTTTCAAAGGACCCCCAAAGCTCTCCTCTGAGCAGAAGTCAATGTCAGCCTTGGGTTGGCAGGACAATTGTTTTTTTCTAGTGCCTGAAAGCCTTCAAGGATGGACAGATGCACAGCTGCCTTTGTAACATGTCCCAGTGCTTTACTGCCCTTCTGGCAAAGCTTTTCCTAATGTTCAGTCTGAAACTTAAGCTGCAATTTGCCACCATGAATACATTTATTTTAGAGGGGTAAGGTGTGATAAATGAACACTCAAATGTCAACTTGAAGCTGTCTGGTCTTGCACAGAAACTAGTTGTATCAATGCTACAAGTAACAGAATACCCACTGAATTAGTAGTTTCCTGTACTAGAGCAGGTTTTTTCTCTACCTGTGGTTAAGAGAAATTGGCTGCTTAATATTGAACACTGTGCTCAGCTACCGAGTGTGCGCTGACTAACTCGTGATTGTGTTAGAAAGGCCTTGAAAGAGGCTGTACTAGCAAGATTACCTAAAAAAGGAGAAACCCACACTATATGAACTAATACTCAGATGAAACTTGGGGTTCAAGGGGAAGAAAGATATTTAATATTATGTATTCTGTGGCCTCAAATCTGTGACCTTCTGTGGAAACTTGTTAGCTGAGTGTGGCTGCTGTTTCTCTGCAGCTCCTTGGTGATAGCTCAGGTAGCTGTGAGAAGGGATAAAACACTCTCCAACTCTGGCCTATCTTCTAATTTATTATGTCCCAGTCTGTCTGCTGGCTGTGCTGTATGGTGCTGGGTAGCTTAGGAGGTTGCTGGTGCTCTGTGTATGCTGCAAACTGTTCCCTGGCTTCCGGGCTTTTTTGAAGGGTAATTCAAAAGACAAGCTTTGATTAAAGCCATGTGTACTGTGAAGGTGCTGGGTATTGGGCCTTGCTACTGCTCGTATAATTACCTGATAGCTGAAGCTAGCAGGGGGTTGCAACACATTTTAATTCAAATTCTGAGCATTAGCTAAAGCTCAGAGAACTTAATTCAATTCTGAATGTCAGTCTCTTTCAGTTTCTGTTAGCGGGGAGGTGCAAGCTATCTGCTGAGAAAAGGTCTGTTAGGTGTCGCTTGCTGTTCTCTATGACAGCATCTTATGCTGCCTGTTAGTGGTTGTCGCAGGGTGGACAGGGGCCTCCTGGGGTATCTCTGCTGCAGCCTCCCGCTCCAGCGCAGGCTCGGAGCTGTGCCTGCAGCTCAGGCTGCTTAGCAACGAAGCCTGCAGGAGGGGAAATGCATGTGGCATGGGCACAGGAGGATGGAAGGAGCAATAAAAATCAGATATGGCAGGAGAGAGAGAGCAAAGCCCAGTCAATTGTGTGCCATACTTGGGGGAGCATGCTTTAATTCTGCAGGGGACCCTTTTCATGCCTTTAAGGCCATTGCTGAGGCAACCTGCCGCGTGTGCAGTTACACGGGCAGGCAGTCAATGGCGAAGCAACATGAATGTGCCTTTGAGATACCACTGTTGTTTTGGTTTTTTTTTTTTAATAGTGATTGCAGCAGTCAAATGTTTCTGGGTTTGTTTTTGTTACCTTTCCTTGATTTCCCATGCATCCTCCTTAATTTAATTAGCTCTTTTGATCCTCTCCATTTCTCATCTAAAACCCTACGTGTTGTTCCTGAATTTACCCCTGAATTTTCCTGTGACAATTACTGAGAAGGGCAGGAGCTTGTGAAGCCTGCTTTGTTTTATGCTTGCTCCAAGAGAAATCTGTGACTGGCTGTTTGCCACTGCTGCTCTTCCAGGTATGTGAGGAGTCTATTGAGCAAATTATTTAATTTGAATTAACAGGTTCCTGCCACTTGGAGTGGGTCCAGAGGAGGGCCACAAAGATGATCAGAGGGCTGGAGCACCTCTCCTATGAGGACAGGCTGAGAGAGTTGGGGTTGTTCAGCCTGGAGAAGAGAAGGTTCCAGGGAGACCTTATAGCGGCCTTCTGGTACCTAAAGGGGGTCTACAGGAAAGATGGGGATAAACATTTTAGCAGGGCCTGTTGCGACAGGACAAGGGGCAATGGCTTTAAACAAAAAGAACGAAGATTTATGCTATATATTGGAAAGAAATTTTTTACGAGGATGGTTAAACACTGGTGCAGGTTGCCCAGAGAGGTGGTAGATGCCCCATCCCTGGAGACATTCAAGGTCAGGTTGGACAGGGGTATGAGCAACCTGATCTGGTTGAAGATGTCCCTGCTTATTGCAGGGGAGGTTGGACTGCATGACTTTTAAAGGTCCTTTCCAACCCAAACCATTCTATAATTTTTGTGCAGCCTTCCAGAGCTAGACTTTTAATAGTTAATATATAGAACTATCCTTAGAAATATTTAAGAATCTCAGGTAGGATTTCAGGCTTATCTGTTTAGACCTGCACACTGCTAATTTAGAACCGTACCCAGGGTTGACACTGCACAATCTTATCATTTTCTTAACAGTTCTCTCAGCTCTGTTGAAAGCTGTAGTTAAACTGTTCTGTAGGTGGCAGCATTGGGAAACTTACAGCAACAAGTCTGATTTGGAAGCCACAAATGGCAAAACAGATCCAGGCGCAATATTACTTAACCACGTATATAACGTTAGGTCCACAGGTTGTCCCGCTGCTTTCAGTGGGACCAGTCACATGCTTCAGCACAATTCTGATTTCAGAGCCAAATATCCGATCCTTAATTTAGTCAAAAGTTAACTTAGGCGTGATGTAACGTCCAAAGCCTCTTACACATTTCAATAGCTTTGGCTTAGGTCCATAGCTTATTTGCAGCTGATACAGCACTACACCACCTCTTTGTCCGGTATATACTGCTGTGCAATATATGCACTACTATTTCTATGCTAAATAGGATTCTTTTGTGAGGGGGGTAAGGAAAGAAAGAGTGGGAATAACTCCAGCAGCATCCAGCTTTTGATACACAGACCAGTTTATCAATCTATAAATATCTAAGATGCAGAATTAGTCACCTGAAAAAGGGGACTAGATGTGCTAGTATCTTCTGCCTTTGATGCAAAGGCACTGGGGAGCTCTAGGGCCCAGTCCCATTAGCCCATGTGCTGTGTGTAGGGAGAACACAAGCGACTGGCAGTAAACCTTGTTATCACAGGATCCCTCTCCAGCCAAGAGGAGGCTGATGACAGGACTGCAGCTCAGTGAGGCTGTGGCCCAAATGGGAGCAAACAAGAAGTGGGAAAAATGCAGCTAGAAGACGAGTAACGGCATTACAATTCCTTTGTGACCAAAGGAACTAAAGCATCACTCACATTTTGTCATTTTTAAATTCTTGCACAAGGTGATATTAAGTTACAGGGAGTGGTTGACATTCCAAATGCTTCAAACCCAAGGGACCTCAATAGATGAGAGGACGGGGCGAGAAGAAACCTCACAGAGTTGAACCAAGTGAGGTGCAGAGCTTGGCACCTTGCTGGAGCCACTGTGTGTCTCTGCACAGGCTGGGAGATGACGGGCAGAGATGAAGTCCTGCTCGACAGGCCCTGGGGGTTACAGCAGGTGCCAAATTGAATATAAGCCCGTGTGTTGTATGCTCTCCTCGCAAGTAAGGCAAACTGCATGCTATGTTGGGAGTTGTATTGGGAGGAGTGAGGCCAGCAGACAGAGGGAAGTTATTATCCATCTCTACTTGGCACTGGTGAGGTTGCACCTGGAATAGCGTGTTCAGTTTTGGGTCCCATTTCCCACCCCCAAGTCCAAGAAGGACATGGAGAAATCTGGGGAGGGTCCAGCAGAAGACTACTGAGGCAGCCAGAGGCATGGAGCACGTGGCCTACAAGGAGAGGTTGGTGGAGCTGGGCGTGTATAGTCTGGCACGGAGCAGACTAAGGGAGGATCTAATTGTGGCCTACAACTACTTCAAGAGCAGTTGCAAAGATGACAAAGCCATTTTTTTTTTTCCCTGGTAGTAGGAGATGGTATATCAAAGGGCAGTAACCACAAATTGCAGGTTGGAAGGTTCAGTTCAGGACACTCGGAAACTGGAAGAGTAGTTTTTCACTGGGAAGGTAGTACAGTACTGGAACAAGTCATCAGAGAAACAGGGGCATCTCCATCTTTGGAAGTTTGCAAGGGACCAGGATTTAACAACCAGCTTTTGTTAAACTGCCCAAGGTTACCTGTCACAGTATGAAAAATTGCAACAGCGATCAGTGTTGCTCCAGCCTTGGGAATGGAGTGCTGTGGTCCTTGAGGAGGAGCTCATCGTGAATCTCCTCCTTATGCCATGCGTGGGGGAACCGCTCCTTGCAGGAAGAGCTGGAGGCTGATGTGCTGACTGCTGCTTTTCTGCTCTGGCTGGGGTGGGAGGACAACAAGAATGGCTGCAGGAACAGCAGTTGATGAGTCTAGGAGGAGGCGTGGGTTTTGCCGCTGATGGGAGGGTTGTCTCTTCACAAAGAGTCGGGAAAAGCAGAGGCCAGGGGCAGATCTGAGGCAGCTCTTCCACACTCAACAAATCAGAAGTATGGGGAGTCCTCCCTGAAGATGTGTGTAACATCCCTAAGGGTGAGAGGGATCCCTACTGGGAATGGGGTGAAGAGCAGAGCATGCTTGAAAATGGGAAAACAAGAGAATTCCTGCTTGTTTTTTAACAGTACCCTCCAGCAGTACCATAAACAACATGAGATGGTTTAATGAAGTTTCCCAATGCCTTAAAGAAGTGCCGTGTATGAGAAATGTAGTTCTAGATGGAAGCCCAATGCACAAGTAACAAGCAACGTAGAACTCATTTGAAAATTTCTTATGTGCTTTTTGCTTAGATGAGTTTCAGATGTGGTTAGCCGATATTGCAAGGCCTGCAGCAAGATAGAAAAACTGAGGAGATCTGCATGACGTTGGAGGAACAAGACTGGGCAAAGGTATTTCAGTGGGTTTAGCATTTCAAGCAGAGTATCATAAAAAACCAAGACAGTCAATTCCATTGCTT